TCTCTCTCTCTGATGAAGGAGGAGGGACCTGCTCTTGTCGTGAGCTACGTGCAGAGTTCACATCTACCACCAAATATCTCAATCGACCATCCCATGAAGACGTAGCCTATATCAGGAGCGCGCACATCTCACTACAGTCTCAAGCCATCTGGGGAGCGAATTTACTTTCTGTTTCACGAGCATCAGTGAGTTTACAGCCTGCGATGCTTGTGTTTATACGATTATTGATTTGTTAATAATGCGTACGGATTTGAGCACATTTAAAGGCTTGATTTGATTTATTTATGGTCTGTTGTTAGAAGAAGGTAGAAGGTGTGTTATATTGCGGAGGCGCAATTTGAGCTCTTTCATCTGTTTGGGTTTGTGATCGAGCAGGAGGGAGGAGTGGCGAAGAAACGGCTGGTAAGTCCATAATACTACACCTCCACATGAGCAATAAATACATACATCATGTGGTTGTTGCACTATCATAAACAGACATTCTTCCTTGGCAGTGTTTATTCCTCGAGTGCACCGATTAAAGCGAGACCCTTAAACCGAAAGTTAAAAGACATTGGCCGTCTTTTAACGTTGTAGACTCCGTTTGCCCGCTGGTTAATGTGTCCGAATCGTGAGTGAATCGTTCATTTGAGTCGGATCTCTGTAATGCTTCGGTTGAACCGTTCCACAAAACACCGGTCTTTTAGGAATCGTAATTAATCGATCCGTACGGTTCGTGATTCGACATCTCGCTGACTCATTGAGCAAGACCCGCTTCTTTCGAAAATGTCCTATTCATAATCCGACTTGGATTATGAATCCGAGGATTTGGATTGAACCAAGCATTTCACTGATGGGACGAAAACTATAAAAGTTACTCTAATGGCCAAATAACTTGAATATTAACGTTACATATAAAATGTACTGGATATATTGTAAAAATTTGTTGACGGCTATATCAACAAGCAACAAGCCTTGGCTTTAATAAATATAATTTTATTTGGGCGTGAATACACTTTTCAGATACATAGAATTAGATAGAATTAGTAGTTTAATTTATATGCATATTATATTTAAATTCTAAACAAAATGTGTGATACATGCTACATACATGCCTCAGCAGGCTGTTAGGGACCCTGGGATGAAGCAAAGACGTCATGACGTAAAAGAACGTTGGATCCTTTTGAAATGATTCCTTGAAACTAACTGTTCGAACGAATCGATTCGCTGAAATGAGTCGGATTCCCCTATTATGTTTTAGATACTAGCGGAACAGGTATTGAGCTACCGTGTCTACACCGGAGCGGCGCGGCACGACAAATCCCCGACAATAAACTGATCCCTCGTTCGGTTTATGACTAAAGTTTAAATGATTTGCAACGGTCGCTTTGTCGCGTCACGTGTAGACAGACTTTAGCTGTTGCGGCGCGACACGACAATTGTCGCGTCCGTTGTAGACACGGCGTTTAATGTCGCTAATAGGCCTATAATGTTAATTACAATTAGACATATATGCTTCTGCTTTTACAAGCAGAGCATTCATTACTGTGTATAGACGGCAGAAACACCGCCTACTATCAGCCCGATACAAATAGGCTATAACTAATGTATTCAGCAGTGGTTTCACTGATTGAATGGAACTCAAACGGGTTTACCTCTGAGTTTGAGCAGTATTGGCGCCTTTATTTGCTGTGTCTGCCACTGCGTCGGGGTTTTTTTCCTTCTGAATGCTCGTTTATTTTCATTCACGTGTGGTGTCAAACTTCTCGACGTCATGATTTTAATAAAAGGAGGCGCGAGAGCAGAACGTTCGAGGCGCGTGCTGGCCTGACCCCAGCTGTTTGTTTACCACGTGCTTCTGTTACGCAAAGTAAACACAATAGTAATAATCTGTGCACTTCATTATAAACGCCAGCGCTGGGGAATGTTTAGTTATGGCACACTGAAACTTGATTTAAAGTTGCCTTAAGTTGAGATATTGCCTGACAAAATGCTTAAGCATACTTTCATTGGTAGGTCTATCCAGGGATAACCCTGTATTTTGGGTCTTTTTAAAATCTCTTCTTCTTAGTGCATAAAGCACATTTTAGGTTAATTAACCAAATATGCAAAGTGCACATGTAAACTTTATATTATAAAGAAATCCAAACCACAGCATTCTTCTTAATTTGTCATGGCAAGACATTTCGTTTACTTTAACTGCATCCCTCACTTCATCAAGCAGGCAGGTCTGGGCTCTGGTGTAATGCACCGAGCATGTGCATTAGGGATGGGCGATACCGCTTATTTTGTTTTCGATACGATACCGATACTTTTAAAGGCCAGTATCGTCTATATCGATACCGATAGGATACTTCTAAACTGAACTTTTAAATTATGAAATTCATGAAATTATTAAATTACTAAGAGTAAAATTGGTAATGATACCCACTAACTTTATATCTGAAACACATTTTAACATTCAATATGCCTTAATTGCAACATATTAAGTTATATATTTGTTAAAATGTTTACTGTAGTGGTAAACATGGAAATCAACAAATACTATAGTTGAACTTTAGTAAAACCATGGTTCGTTTTCATAAGGGACTGCCAGTGACGGGCTGTTGCATGCATAAAATGCAACATTTTTATTCTGACAGTGTATGATTTATACTAAAATTACAGAATATAACATGATCAATATGAACTTTTAATGTTCAGTTTAAATAAATGTAATCGCACAAACTATGTAGGCTACAATTTCAGTTTATTTATTGTGAAAAAACTCAAACATATGTTTTTTTCTGTCCTCTGATAAGCATTGTTCTGGGCTGCAGTTCCCAAAAGCATCTGGTTTCTTATGACACTTTTGGGAAACGCAGCCCTGTTTGAATGCACTGTCAGAAGGTCAGAAGTGAGTGAATGCTCTCTGTAATTGATTGGTTCAGATGAGCAGGAAAATAGTTCTATCCTACACAGTTAATCGCTAAATTAGGTTATTCGTCCAATTCAATGCATAATGTACGCATTATTTTTTTTGTTAAACAAAGTCACTGGTAAATAAAACACCTTAGTATCGATATTTTTTATTTGAGTATCGATACGTTCGATACTTGCATCAGTATCGATATAGCGATACTTCAGGATCGAAAGCCCATCCCTAATGTGCATGTTGTTTTTCAGTGTAGCTGGCTGAACGACATGTACGGCACGTAATAAGAACTAATCAGGAACTTGTTTTTGTGCACAATGTCCAGAGATGTCAGTTTGCTTTATGCCATCCTGGTTGTTTGGTATTAGACAATGAAAATAACAGCCCCTTATGGTGTAGAGGTCAGCTGTGTGACCTTATGTGGAGCAGTGCTCAAAAACTATAAACATTTGCCTACAGCTCACTGTTAAAAGCAGTTTATTCTGGGGCAACTGACCCTCAAATCCATCTGTTTTCACTATGTGTTTAGTTTATTTCAACATGCTGACATTTAAAACCAAAGTGGTAATTTCTTATGTTTCTGCTTTGTAATGCAGTGTACAATATGCTTGTATGATGCTGTATGCTTATGATTGACTTAAATTCAGGTTTTTCTAATATAACTTTGAGGTTACTTAACATGCAAATGAGCTGTTGAACCTAGCCTGTCTTTGAGTTGTGCATAATGTTTATGAATAGTTTTACACATGCCAGATATGACTCATGGGTCATTTGTGGTAAGTGTAGTTGATTCCAATTATTCTTAATTATTTTTTCTTTTTTCTTTTGATAAGACCGGAAATTGTTTTATTCAGGTAGAATATGTGGAAACGCATTCTAGATAGTGAGGCAATTCGTCTTCAGCTGGATTTGCATGTTTGTTCCCCTCAATACTTTTTTGTAAAAAAAAAAAAAAAAAAGATTATGTAAGTTTCAAAGACGCAGATGTGAATTAGTCATCATGTTTTGCAGGCTCCTGAATTCTGAATCCTGCCTAAAATCCACAAAGATGATATATCTGACAGTGTAAGTCTTAATATAATGCTTTACAACATATTTGATAGTTGAGTTCAAGTTGTCTGGTCCTTTAAAGGAATAGTTCGCCCCAAAAAAATGGAAATTTGCTGTCAATTTACTTACCCTCAGACCATCTAACATGTAGATTTTGATGTAGAGTTTTTTTTTATATATAACAGATTCTGAGAAATTAAGCATCACTTGCTTACCAATGGATCCTTTTCAATGACTGGGTGCCATCAGAATGAGAGTCCAAATAGCTGATAAAAAAATCATAACAATCCACACAACTTGTGATGTGACAAGCTGTGTTTGTAAGAAACAAATCCAATGTTTTTCCAATCCAACGAATTTTAACTGTCACTTCTGGCCAAAATACCAGTTCATAATCCATAATAAGGCTTTCTCCAGTGGAAAGCCCTCTCACATCCAAATCCACTGACATATTTGTTTAGAACTGTTTTTGCTTGTAAACAGTGCTTGATCTTTGTGTTCTCTCTTGATTCTAACAGGACAATTTTATTGCTAAAGCATTGCTATGGATAGATGACTTGTATTTTAGCCAGAAGCAATGGTTTGAAGTTTAAAATGTCTTGATTATGAGTGTTTATTACAAACACGCAGCTTTTCGCTTCACAAGACATGAATTGATGAACTGGAGTTGTGTGGATTATTGTGATGTTTTTATCAGCTATTTGAACTCTCATTCTGACGGCACCCATTCACTGCAGAGGATCCGTTGGTGGTGAGTAAGGTTTAGCAATGCTAAATTTCTCCAAATCTGTTCAGATGAGGAAACAACCTCATTTACATCTTGAATGGCCTTAAGGTGACTCGGTTTTCAGCAAATTTTCATTTTTGGGGGCGAACTGTTCCTTTAAAGTTAATTTATCACCCAAATGCAGTTATAGAAATTCTCCATATATTCTGTAAGATTAAAACTGTCCCTTGTGTGACTGATCATTCAGCTGAGTTCCCTCACCTTCATAATGTTTTGCATCAACAGCTTGTAAGTGTCTTTAATCAACAGCTGCTCTGGTATTTCCAGAATCTGGAGTTTTTATAGACTCATTGAAAGAAAATAATTCTGTGTTGTTTTAGAAACACTGATTCTGTACGAAGGATACTTGTCTAATACTAATATAAACAAAGGATTATTGCATGCATATTTTGTGTACAGTATATACATGGCCACATGATGAAAAGAAGATGAGAAATAAGACCACAAGAAAGACCGGCAAAAAGAAATACAGAGTTGTTTATGAGGGCCCTGTGGGGAATGTCGGCTGAGAGGGTAAATTAGGGGCAACAGCTGCTGGTGTCACTTCTACAGCTTGTTTGTATCATCTCATGTTACTGTTTAAGCTCACAAGACAGGACACTTGCCCTCTTACATACATTTAGGATCATTAAACCACTAATAAAAGCGATGGCAGATCTGTTCTCGGATCAG